TTGCAGCTAAAATGCAAAAACTGATTCTGCCGAAAAATAAAAATGCATATAAATTATACAAACAAATTACCCTACAGACACAGACTTAAATCAACAGTATATCCGAGTTGTGTGTTCTTCAGATGAGCAAACTGGCCGCTTTGGCACCAGGTCGCCATGTCCTGTAACAAAGCCAACTACTAGATCGAACGAAAATGGCAAAAAGGTAGCATCTTATTACCTACCATACCCTGTCCATGGCTGGTGGTACATAGGTTCAACCTTCCCCATTCATTTCGTGCCGACCTCGATGGTCGGGTATACGTGTGAATAAAGACCTCCTCTCAGTCTTTGATGGAAGATGTGATGGTATTGTTATAGCGTGAGCCAGTCTGCGTCGTGACCCTTTCCTGAAAGAGTTGTTTCGCGAAACGGGTGCCGAGTTAGATGTTAGTAGTACCAAGCCTCGTGATGATTCGTTTTGGCCTTTCGAGAAACGTGACATTGTAATGGTAACTTAATAGGTTGGCGAGAAGGGAGGGGGAGGGGGGGGGGAATCTGACCTGCCGATTGTTAGAGAGACATCAAATAGAGAGTAAGCGTGGACGGCTGCCTTCAGACCATTTCACCTTACAATGAACCGCAGCAGCGGATGCTACGAACCGCCTAAGCCAATTCAAAGTCTTGTGTGTGTCACGTGACCTTGGGGAAGGGGGCCAGGACCACGTGATCACGTGATACGGTCACGGCGCTTTATTGGCTGGGATGCTTCGTGGCACCCGCTGCAGTCCATCGCAAGGTGAAACCGACTATGCACGCGAGTGCTTTGTGACTCACGATTCTCGGAACTGTGGGTAACTGCGGGTTCCTCATGCCCTTACGAACAAACAACACTGTTTGCAACGCGTTGCGGAAATGTTGCTCACGTTATTTTTTATCTTTTTTTTATTCTTGTAGTGTCATTGAATAGCGCGCGTCAGTCGCCGATAGGGACCACACTTGTTACAAATTACTCCGTGCATCGTTTTTCTGTTTTTCTTTCTTTTCAAAACTTTTAGCATGGGGTAATGACTTAGCACACCGTAAAGAGATCCTGGCCCGAAATTTGGATTTCGCAAAATATGGCCGCAGCAGCGTTGAACGGGACGCTATACGAACTCCCAAAACTCCAAGCGAGGACTATGACGTCACGATCCCCCTTTTGAGAATGAGGGGAAGCGGTCTCGCTTCTCCTCTCCTCCTGGCTTCGGTTCACCAGATCGAGGGGACGAGGCGAAGAGGAGAAGGAATGAAAATCGTGACGTCACATGTCTCGTCGGCCTCATTGGCCGAGTTCAATCGCCGTACTTCTCCCCCCCCCCCCCCCCCCCCCCCAAAAAAAAAAAAAAAAAAAAAACATATCGCTGTATGAATGATGTTTTTGGGTTTTGCAGCGCCTATCGCTCCAGCCTTGTTTTGTGGGTTCCAAATTTCGGTCCGTATCCCTTTTAATGCAATCGCATCTGTGTTTTAAAAACATAATACAGCTTGATCGCTCCGAATACAGTTGGTTACTAACGTCGATTGGTCACTAATGGGGATGGCTAACACTTGAAAAGGAAAAGCCCCAAAAGCAGGCAAGGGCGTTTTAAAAAATTTGAATCTTGACGTTTGATCATTTTATAGCAATATCCCTGACAGCTTCAGAAACGCAGGGCGTCGCGAAGCATCGCATTATCACTCCGCAGCCAAGCAGAGCGCGGCGTTAGCCGGTAAGAACCAATCACGGTTACATGTCTCGAAAAGAACAGCACATCGCTAAACTAAGCTTTCTATTGGCCGCGTTTTGTGCCGATAACATTCTTGTCCAGATTCCGCCATGGCAGAACTGAACGATTCCCGCTTCGGTCCCGTCATCGCCGTCAATGGAACACCGTATAGCACGCCCCGCGGGAGGCTCTGTAGCCCTTCTCATTCCAGAACCTCCCCGTTCGAAAGTCGCTACTGCCCCCTAGACAAAAGCAAAGCTCCCGAGATCGATGTATTCTCACGGAAAAAAAAGTTGCACCCTGTCGACACCGCAAAACGGCAACAGCAATATAATTTCTCGATTCCATCGAACTCGCCGCCAAAAAAAAGAAAAAAAGAAATATTCTCAAGAGAAACACCGCGGCGTCGACGGTGGCGATGCGCCGTCGGCAACTTTCCCGCCTTCGGCCAGTACCACCTACAAGACCAGGCCTGCCTATGACGTCATCGTTAGTGTATTCCCGACCCACTCCAAACGGTGATCACGCTCAAACTCGACGACGTGTTCTAGCGTCGCGCTCGTAGTGAGGCGCTGCGACACGTGCTGACGGTGACGCTGCCGCAAGTTATTGGTGACGTGCGCGATCGAAAGCGTCACTGTGATCGGCCTTCCACGATTGGCAGAATGCTGACTATGACGACAGCAAAGGAGTTCTCATCGATAGAAATAAGGGAAATGAAAGACCTTTAATGTTGACGGTGTTGGCAGTGTTGATTTCAGAGCGCTATGATTTCAAGCTTCCACCACGCTCATTACAAACACCATCGAACTTGCTGTTCGCAAGCTAATGACGTCACGAGAGGGGACCATAGGAGGGCCTGCCTGAACCCACGAGTGATGACGTTAGGGGGCAAAAGGCGCAGGCCTTGTCTTCCAGGTGATATCGCTTCAGCACGCTTTTCGAGCAGGCCTGTTTCGTTTTTTTTTTTTAAAAAGACCCCCGGAGTCTGTTGTACACGCGTGCTTCTGTGTCTGTGATTCTCTCATCAAGGTCGGGGTTGGCTCCAAGCAAGCGAAAACTTCTTTCGCACGCTCGCTCGTGCGACCTTCTCAGACATACATTCGCGAGAGAAAAAAAACAACAACAATCCAACCTCAGGAAACATATCTAAAATGACGACAACAATACACTGCCTCTAAAAGTAGCACAGGTGAAAGAAAAAACGAGCAAACAAAATTCTACGACTTCCCGCACCTAACAAGTCCCTTTTTGTCTTTGGCGTGCCTATCTTATTCGCTCGATACGCTTGCCACTAGATCTCAAAGATCGCCTGCCAACAGAGCGATACCACTGGGACGACTCAACGAATCGCTTTCGCAACTTTTTGTTTTTGTTTGTTTGTTCTAAAAGTTTCCCTTTTTTTGTGTGTGTGACGCACAGCATGGGGCACAAGCACGTCAGATGAAATTCACGCGGTGCTTCTCTACGACTCTTGCCCACCGACGAGACATCTCCCTTTTCTTCCTTTGTTTATTTTATTTTCGCAGTCTCTTTAATTGCATCGTCGTCGCGTAGCCTCCTCTGACATGTTGTTCGACTAACGACAAAGAAAAAGCATTTTTATTCTCATCTGTTTGCCGGAGAAGGGTTAAACACCCGAGATGACGTGGAAAGAAAGTGTACGGAGTCGTTGCGCTTTCCGGGGGACTGTGTCGTCACTTCCTTCGACCCCTCCAGCCCTTTTATGTATACTCCCAACACTTCATCAACCGAAGGTACTCAATTTGCTAGATGATGACGTATGTGGTCGTGGGACAAGTTACAATGGATGTTCCGGTGCCTGCGCTAGATGGCGTGAGCTGTTTCACGATACAGAGGGTATAGTTACTGTCATCCATCCATCCATCCATCCACCCATCCATCTGTCCATCCATTCATGCTTACGAAAGGGGTCTCCTGTTGTCAGCTTGAATAATTAATAAAGAGGGACCGTATTAGCTGGCTTTACTTGTTTCGTGATTCCGTGAGTGACACGAAGTGCTGTTTTACTGATTGGCTGTCACGCTTTGAAGGGATTATTTGCTGGCTCGTGTTTCTCAGCATTAGGACCATGCTACTGACACTAAAGCAGAAGCGACGTCTTTTATTTTATTTATCGTTTTATTTGTTTGTCGTTAAGATTACATGACACGTGTTCAAAACAGAGAGCTGTCATTGACACTTAACCGGATAGTGCGTATCTTATCTCTAGTACAATATCTAGTGAGCAGATTTTTTTCTTGTTGTCCCGATGGTCTTGGCCTGAACATTTATCTGTTAGTGATTCTGCACTTGCGTATTTATTTGCTACTACGACTTCTTCACTTTAGTCATTTTGCTCATAACTTTCTTTTTTTAGTTGTGTAATGCCTTTGATTTAAGCAATACAATTTTAAGAAATGTTTTACCTAGCAACATTTCACACTGTTTGGAGGCTACAGCGCAAAAAGGACGTAGGACGAGGTCGAAGAAACACACAGACAGGGCGCCCTGTCTGTGTGTTTCTTCGACCTCGTCCTACGTCCTTTTTACGATGTTCCCTCCAAACAGTATGTACCACCAACTAGCCCAACTACATGCCTTGCTGCAACATTTCACATTGGGCATCGAGTTCAACCATGAACTAGATGCCCAAAATTGCACCCCAACTCGTGACTTGAGCACTGGTGCATTTGTTTGACATCTTGCCACGTTAAAGACTTCATTTTACGTAACTATCCTACGATAACATGCTGGTTCCCTCATTTGTTATTCAACAGCGTCACTTCTACACAAAAAATAACAATTCTCTAAGCTGGATGGATGGATGAATGGATGGATGAATGGATGGATGGATGAATCCGGCTGAGCCCTTTAAATCGGGCGGTAGCTTACGCCACCTAGCACCTAGCCTTTTTCGAGTAACGAGCGCCGTCTAGGGGGTTGTCTGCGAATTACAAATGAAGGAGAGTCCAACATTCCTCCACCAATGAGAACACAGTCATCGTTCCGTCGTATTGCTTTTCATTGCTTTTTGAGCTCCATACTACCGGTGCTGAAAAAGTGATCGTCAAGAGAGAGAAAATACGCGGTACACGTGCCTAGAATGTTTGTCCTGCGGGACGGTATGAGAGGGTGTACGTATGAGCAAGCGCTTAGTGGAAAAAGCTTCATTAAATCCATGGTACGATGTAGATTCGGGTTACGACAATGCGACGTTGTACCGCGATAGACGGGCAACTTTCGCTTAACGCCAGTGTCTGGTGCTTGCAGAGTTCGAGTTCAGCCTTTCCCCAGCGTCCATGGTGGCCGCGGCGAGCATCAGCACTGCAGTCGCGGGCCTGGTGCGACTCAGCTGGAGCCAAAAGCGAGAGCTACTACAACGGCTACATGAAATCACCAGCATAGAGGTGGTAAGTGTTGCCCACCACTTTTTTATTTCCCTCAATGCACTTGCTTCGTGAGGTGAGCCGTTAGGCCCTTGCAGACTGTCCACGGGTCATCATAGTTTGCGGACGTCGCGAGCAGAAATGCTGCTTGGACGTGTGCTTACACGTTTACACAGCAGTACACAAACAAGTTTATCTTGTGCAGCGCGGGAATGGTGAATTGAATGTCGTGGTCGTTTCTTGGACCCGTGCACAATTTCCATGCGCGGAACCATCGATCAAAGATGAATTCCCACAATCTTTTTTGTTTGTCCATGTGAGCCGTGTTCGGCTAAATGGAAATAATGACAAGAAAGTGTAACGGCATACCTCCAAAAGGAACGTTTCTGTCAAGCGAAAACGCTGAGGTAGTGCTTTGTGGCCTTATCTGTGGATTCTGAGTGAAACGTTGTGAACAACAATGTAATTCGATCACGGGCATCAGGTAACTTGGTCGTAATCAAGAATCTATACAAAGAGTTTTAAGATGCGTAGCGCGAGCGCTGCGGATACAGATAGAGAGCTACAAGCACCTCATTGTATCCAGAACGGTCTTGTTTGAAGGTCTCCAAAGAGTGACCAGGAGGAGCAGTAGCGAAGCTCCCTGATACGGGCTCTTCTTTCCACGGTGGCATTAAGAAAGATCGTTTCTGACTCTATCCGTCCGTGCGCTTGTGGGTCTGGGGCAAGAAACGACTCCTGCAAGGAGTGGCCTGCCGCCTCTAAGAGGAGGGAACTTGGGAAGGCGGCGGCGGCGACTCCGAGGCGCCAGAAGCACCAGAAGCAACAAGAATTCCGCGACCGTGGTTGGTGGAGGTGGTGGTGCCGGCGGTGGCGTTCAGTCACGTGTCGTCAGCAGCCCCCCCCCCCCCCCCTCCCCAAATTCCAGGGGCATAGGCGGAGGTCCACAGAAAAAGCTGAATGGCCCCCTCCGTACCAGGAAATGGTGTCGGCGAGTCCCTTGGAGAGCCGTGAGCCGCGAGACGCGGGGCGAACCCGACACCGTCCTGTCGCCGAAGCGTCGTGGCGGCCCGCATTCCTTGTTGGGGCTGAGGCTCCGTTGTGTGTGTGCGCTGCTATGTCCCGGCGGCTCATCGGCTGGCAAAGAGAAGCGTGGGACTTGGTCGCAGAGTGGCAGGAAGGATGCACCGATCGCTTTGTTCACTTTGCCGCGTTCTGTGGCTGTGAGGCAGTGTGCGTTCTCACTTACTCATACTGTTCCCTTTTTTCGGGAAGAAGAGTACGTGCTTCTTCACGATTGAGATCCGGTGAAATAACTCGCCCAGTCCAAACCTTTCCTTGCCCTGAAGGTTTCTCCGATTTCCACTGCCATGCTTTTGTTGCTGGCGTCTTGGTCACCAGAGACGAAGAGAGTTTGCTGCGGTTGGTGTAGGTCTAGATGTGAGCGGAGAAAAGTGTACTGTGTTGTGTGCACCGCAGTCAAGAACTGCGCATCGCCGAAAGCGCAGACTTTGTCTCAGTGCATGATTCGGGGGCTCCGCTGACTGTCGTTTCCTCAGTAAACATTCCCAAGAAAAAAACAAAAAAAAAACGTAACTTTTAAATAAAAGGAACTGAGTTCTGAAACTTATAGGACATAAATACTTGCGAACGTTTTCTAATGACAAATACAAGGTAGTGCCTGACGTAATTTGGATTTCTTATGGCAAGCAAGAATGAAAATCAAGTGATCTAAACGAGTGGTCCAATATACTTGTCGTTTTTCTGGTACAGCGTAACAGCAGTTTCGTAGAAATAAGGCAAGAAATAAAAATAAAATAAAATAAAAAAAACTTCTGACGATGACAAAGTATGACATCTTTCTCTCAATAACATCGTGAGAAACAGACACGATGCCTATTTAAAAAGAGAAAAAAAAAACTGTCCAAGACGAGCAAAACCGGGAGGTCTGGTTTGGAACAATAAAACACAAGTTCCCAATCCTGCTGTGCACTCCTGAGCGCATCACAGGAGCGGCGCTTCTGTTGACAACATGTGCGCTAGCACGGAGTAACCCTAGAAGCCTGACAACAGTGTTATTCCTTGTCATCTGTCGTCGACCCTCGCGCGCAGTCTGTGGGAACGCTCTCATCGCAACCGATCGCCCGAGCACCGTTATTTTTAAGCGCCATCTTACTTTCCTTTTCAACAGCTTGCCCTCTCTCTCTCTCTCTCTCTATTTCTTTCCCTGTTCTCACACACATGGAGCAGTCATTCGTTCATTCACTGCAATACACCGAAGCCAAAGGGAAGCTATACCCCCGCCAAAAACAACAGTGTAATACATGCTAACGAGTGAGGGGCTCGTAAAATGTAATATGCCGCTACCAAGTGACGCAGCGGTTCAAACTAGCACACATCCTTTGGGGGGAAAAAAAGAAAGAAAAAAGCGACATACACTTTTTTTTAATGTTTTTACTATTAACATCGTCGTCGTCGGCATTTTATTCACGACGTGGGTCCTCGGCATGGCGACTCCTAGAGCGATCTAGCCGTATATTACAGACCGCGCTACTGCCACGTGGTAGATCCAAGTGGCTGCCTCCCGTCGTCGTTGTCCCAGTGTCTTAAAGTGCCGGCGTGCTTTTTTGTTGTTTTTTTCCCCCTCAAATGCTCGATAAGTTCTCACGTTGCCAGACGACGGATGCCCCCCTCGACAACATTTGGGGTTGACGCGCCTCTTGGCTCGACGTCGTCTGACTCGGGAAAGGAGATACTGCGGGCTGATGAATAAACGAGCTGCGAAAGAAAAACTCCGTCTTAGACAAGGAGGACCAACTGGCAAGTGTTCGCTCCTTGCTGTTGCAGACCTTTAAAATGATTTTGAGGACCGCGACGAGATCTCACCGACGAAACCTCTACCAAAGAACACGACGTTGAAAGCGTTTACGAGGAAGACGTTTAAGACTGTTCTTTCTTCAGCGATCGTTTGTCCCTGAGAGGAATGGCCACGCAAGATCAGTACATTAAGTTCACTCCAGTCCAGGATCCTCTAAAGAGTTCTAACGGGATCCCTAAAGCGGTGGTCGCATCGCTAATACATCATACAAAGGGAAGTCTGTGGACGTCTTTATTCCTTGTATGATGGTCACACCGGTCATACAAAAACTCTCTGCAGACATGCTCGAATCAAATGCGCATGAAACGAACGTGTATTTTGTATGATTGTACTAGCAGTGGGTCTGCGGCTTCAACCTCACGGATCATTTTCGACCTAGGGTTACTCAGCAAAATTAGGTTGGCTCAGCACAGTCGCCACGCCGAATTCAAATGAGGTCCTCTTGGAACTGGGCACTCGTCCTATAGGTAAATGGGAAAAACCGTCTCGTACTGCAAAGAACCACGACTGCCTCTGGAAGCCGACAACTGCGCATCAGCACGTTCGCACCCTCGTCTTCACGCGATGACTTTCCTAACTGCGCATGCGCCTAGAAAGGGTGCGGTCAACGTTTCCCGGAGTCAAGGCTACAGGATGCCACGAGCCTCGTAAGCACCTCGTAGCCTCATTGGGAACACCGTTGTTCTCGAAGGGCACGTAAAGGCTACAAATCTCCCGGCTCAGTAGAGGTGCAGGAGCGGTGGAGAGAAGTGCGGTTTTATTTGAGCCGTGCGGTTTTCTCTTCCATCTCTCGGCGCGGCTTCAGAAGAGAGAGTTCTCCTCTAGAAATAGCTTTTTCTTTTTCTTATTTTCTTCTTTTCTTCTTCTTGCTTGCTTCTCCCTTCTCCTTCTCCCTGGAGAGGACTCCACTGGGCCACCCAGTGGGCTGAGAAAAATTCTTGGGATGAAATCTGGTCCCGACTGACCTCCTCGCGTTAGCCCTCCCTTCCTCCTCGAGCAAAGGAACGAACGACCTCTGGGTGTGGCGAGCGCAAAAGAAGGAGTTTCACCCGCTTCTCTGCATCGCTTGCACTCGACAACTGCTTATCGGCGCTTCGGATCACCCAGCCGGAATCTTTCGGCCGGGCCCTTCGCTTTGTGGAAACGCGAGGGTCCACACTACGCGCCGGGAAGAAAGGAGTGCTGCGTCCTGGGAGCTTTTCGCGCCTCCTCGTTGATCTTTCCACCACACCGATGCCGATAGACCTACTGATGTCCGTATATAGACCGTTTTCGCATAACCTCATACCAGCGCGCAACTGACGTACCTTCGAACCGCTGCATTTTTATATTGCCCGCTGACACAGGGCATGCAACCGGCGAGGGTATGGGCGAAAAGGCTTCGAAACGGACGTCGTGCGTGAGTTAGTTCAGAGTGCTTCTTTCTACCGTGTTACAACTTCCCAAAATCTTCGGTTGTCTGGCTACCACAGCTTCGTCGTCGTGTGCACAAATAATCTTAATGAGCAGAAGAACAATCGCGGGAAATGTAAGATGAGCAGAAGAAGCTGCGGCACGAATGTGGTTGCAATGTTATTGAGCTTCGCACGTTCCCCGAAGATCCTTCTTTTTAGCATCTTCGAGCGTGAACCGCGAGGGCTGTGTATGAGACTCATCATCACATTTATTTTCACGACTACTTCGTCTTCGACAAGGGAACACTGTCTTCGGCAAGGGAACACCGCAGGTGCTCCGATTACGCTTTCGCTGCAAGGCATGCTATTTCTCCACGGCATGTTAGGGGTATGAAAACTTCTACGTGCCACCATTCAAGGTGCAGCTATCACATGCCGAGAGCTTGCCTGCATAAACTACAATAAACTGCTCATATATACCTTCGTTGTGGAAGCTTAATCAGACGGCTTTAAATGCCTTCTATCCTACGACTAACGCAAAGTGAGTGTCCCTGCACTCACGTTGAGGGTGATGCAGAAAGATGCTTATAGGATGTGCTTCTTTCGTACACGTATATAAAAGATGAGTCGTGCGGCGTGGCGTGGGAAAAAAATGTGGCGTTTACAACGGTGAAGGGTCTGCTTACTCAAGCAGATTTAAGGAAATCCTTAAGTAGAGGTATAAGCCTGAACGTCCATGCCTATGTGTTGCAGACCCGGCTGGCTCGAGGAAATTCGAATCACAATTTTTCCTCACACGTCGCCTCGAGAGTGAAAACGACTCTAGACATCGACAGTGTCTAGCGGAAATCTGTCAAAGATGTACATTACGCAAATCTGCAAGAATTGTTTCCTCGCTGATGGATGGTTTCCTTTTCGAGAAGACCTCCGCGATTCTTCACACGTGACGCAGACGAGAGAATTTCGCAAGAATTGCTTTCAAAATCCGACATAGGACATGGCTTGTATTTCAAAGCGCGCGTCTCAGCGTCCCCAACGTAAAGCAGTCAAAAACGCAGCATGTAATTCCCAACACGAAAAGATCTGTCTCGGTCAGCGAATGTCACAAGATGGCTGTCGAGCATCACAGCAGAAAGAACCGAAGAACGGCAAAACTTTATGCTGCGTAAGTATAACGCCAACAAAAACATGAAAGTGGATGAAGCATCGGAATTCAAGTTTCGCGAAAGCCGCAGTCACAATATCATAAAAAAGACACCGTGGTTGCTTGCTGCAGTGTCGGCAGCAAGCATCTTCAAAGCGGTTTGTATCATACATGTGCATGCTTTAAACATGTCATGTCTGCAGTCAGTTTTTGTATAACCAATGTGACTGTCATACGTATAAGCAAGAAACACGCCTCATACAAGGTTTGCACACTGACTTTTGTATGGCGTATTTGCAGTTTGCCGCGGCTTATAGAGACTTTCTTCAGTCAGTTGTATCAAACGTTGATGAACAATGGCCGACAAGCACAATCCCCGATTATTAACCAGGGGTGAGCTAGGGTCCACAGATGAAACTCCACCGAATTCAAAACCTAGTTCAATTTCTTCAACTCTGGCACTCCGTTCACAAGCCTCCAGGATGCTGAAGAGTTGCTGATGGACCATTGAACCTTGCACGCCTCCAAACAACAGACTGGGGGAAAAGCATAGGCGGGCTTCGCGCACCGCCTTTCGGGCGCATTCCAACTGTAAAGACGCGGGACGGGATCTTTCTTTCTGCACAAGGCAAATAGTTCCCGATTCCCACGCTCTTCAGCATCTACACGAGTACAGAAGAGACACGGGCGAGCGCCGAGCGCCTCTGCTGAAGCAGCGCCCTCTCTCGGCGGCGCGGAGAAGCGGGAAAGAGGCGAGCAGACGTCAAAAAACGAACGAGACAGAACCGAAAACGAAACTTTTCCACAAAGCGGCGCAAAGAGGCGATGGCGGCGGCGGCGGCGGGCGGCAGCAACGGCGCGGCAGTAATCAAGTGTAGTGGTACTTTCGCCGGCGGGGCAACCGAGCCTCGCGGTGTGTTTTCTTCTTTTGTTTTTATTTTGTTCTTTTTTTGTGTGTTTTCTGCTTTATTATTTTTTTTTTTTATCCGCTGTTGCCGCGGTGGTCCGGTCTCGGCGGAATGCGGCTGGTATAGGGCTTCGGAAAAGACGGCGGCGTCCCGTATGAATGGCCCGGTAGGCCCGGCCTTTCTGTCTGTCGGCAAACGGCGGGAGTTTTTCGCGGAAGAGCTTTCGAGGGGGAAGGTCGAGGGGGGGAACGCAACTGTGGGCAATGCCCAAGGCGAGCGGCTTCGGCCAATCTCCAGCGTTGCTCCCCCGTATTTCCACGCCTCCCATTTCAGCGGCATGGAAGAAGACCTGCCTAGCCTACAGGCAGCAGGGTCAGTTGGCCGTGCCCCTGCTTGTTGCCAAGTTCTTTTTATCTCTTTTCGCTTTGTTTTGCCGGCTTCGTGTGGCCCGCTTAATTGGGCTGAATGCGCAGAACGGCGGCTGCTTTGCGCTTTATCGCCTGGCGGCGAGCTGTGTAATTAGGGGATTTCGAGCGACCCACGTGACTTATGCGATTGGTTCATCACCCAAGTCTCATCAAGTGAGTGGCGCCGGATGCCACTTGCTCTTGAGACTGTCACGCGAGCGTTGGATCAGGGAGAGGGGAGATTAAGAATGGAGCGCGTGGCGCTTGTTTTCTTACACCTCCGCGATTCATGTAACCGCATTTGTCTCCACATGCTTTTTTTAAATTTTTATGCGTTCCGGTGCTAACTAGACTTCCCACCTTCGCCGCACAGGGTGTCTTGTTGTATGCACACCCATTTCGATATGCGATCTTACAGCTTCGAATCACGATACTGCATCTGATTTGGCAAGACGCTGGTTCTGGACACGTAAACTTCATTCTAAATTCTTGCCCAGTTTTCTTTTTTTTTTTTTGTTTTTTTTTTTCTATTCTCTGCATCTAGTCTCGAATGTTGTTCGTCATCCTTTTTTCTTGAGGTGAAAACGAGTATATTCGTCTAAACAAGGCGATGATCGATCACACAATGAGCGCATCGTAGGAAATGCTAAACAATTAGTATTTCGAACGCGGTCGGCGCCTTGTCTATCCCTGGATGACATCTCAATGTAAATCAACGAACCGTTGCCTCGTCCATCGAGCGGAGTTAGGAGGAGACTGGTGACGTCCTCCGCTCGATAGCGCTGACTTATGGTTTGTTTAGAGCAGAAACAAGAGACGCTCAAGATATACGGTTTCACCGGGAGGCCACCACCGTCGGCGTTGGTCCCTCGGCTTCCTTGGCGAGGAATTTGGTCCCCGGTGGTTTTCAGGCGCCCCGCGTTGTTTACTTTGATCTCTGCAAAGGCCCACTCAAAAGGGGGGCCTCCTCGTCTTGTTCGAAGGTCTACCTTGGGAAGACATTTGTTGTTCCGGGTTAACTAGCTTCCGACATGCTGGTGGGCTCGAGCTTGACATGGTCCCCGAAAGCTTTCCACATGGCCCTCTCTCGCAGCGGAAGTCGCCGTTGAGGGAGACAGGGAATGTTCTCTCCCAACCACTCATTTCTTGGCGACTGCTCTGTTTGACATTTTTTGTGTGAGTTCTTGTTTAAAAGGTAATTTTTCGAGTTTGGGGGGATCTGTATTTGGGGTGGTCCGAACCGTGAAAGTTAATAGACCATTAGTGATACGAAGAAATTAGGTCGTTAGCACATATCCATAGAATAGGAAGTTTCAAGGATGTCAAAAAAATTAAACCGCAACAATTCTGCAGATGGCTTAGAACGTTGTATGACGAAGTGCACTCTCCGCCAATAGTGTAATCACTGTTCATGAAGTGCTCGCGTACCAGCAAAGTCTTGCTAACAAAGCCTCTTGTTGTTCTTGTCCTTCCAGGACTGTCTCCAGGACTGCCAGCACAGGATCGAACAGATGCTGGCGCGCAACTGCCCGGAGATCGCACGGTCTTCGAGCAGTGTCAACACTTCTGCAGCACCGCCGGCCTCGGGGGACTACTCGACCAAGGTGGCCAACGAGGCGGCCGGACTGGAGACTGAGACCCCGGACACGCCAACGGATGTCCAGGACGTGCTATTTTGAGGCCTGTGGCCCTCGCTAGACAACTATCGACTGAGGTCTAGGTGCCGAAACCAGCTCATGAACCCTCTCGTCATGTGCGTGAACTGACTTTACCCAAAATGTGCCTTGTGCAAGATGGAAGACAAGCCCACGAGCTCGACAGAACTTTGGTGAATGGTACAGTGAAAACCGCTTCGCTTCCTTGCCTGCGTCCCTCGAAGACAAGAATGGCGGAAGTCTGCTCGGTGGAGTCGTTAGGGTCCTCGTGTATGTGTGTGGACATCGCGTTTTTGGAAGTGTGCGCTTGAAGAATTGGAGACGCCTAGTCAACGACGGATTTTGAGACTCTCTTGTCGTGTATTTGTTTTTCCGCCGAGTGTCGTTTTACTCTTGTGTTTTGAAGAAAAAGGGGTCGACAAGGAGTTCAATAATAAGCTTTTTTTTTTGTGAAAGTACTATACTTTGATAGGAGTAACAAGAAATGTCTGGTGCACGTGTTGTTTTTTTAGTTGGATAGCGTCGGCAGGTTACGTCAAGAGTCTGAAACTCCAACTCTTTATTCTTCTTTTTTTTTCTACGTAGGTCGCGTAATTTGTCAGTACGCCCGTGCCCAGCTACATTTTTATTACATCTGTACGGAGTGAAATTGTAAGACAAGAGTGTTAAATGGAAGCGACCGCGGGTATTTTGTGAATGACGACGCTTGGTTGAAACTCAGGAAAGGCTAGGCAGTGTGAGGCTACGTGGGTATTATAATAATAATAATTATTATTATTTGTGTCGTTACTTTCGATTACAATATTTTTTATTATTATATTATTGTAACCGAGCCAAGCACGAGGGCATTTCTTGCGGTTGCGTCTCCGTCGTTTTTGTGTGTGCGTGTAGGTAAATGTTTCAATTAATTATACAACTATAAATCGCGCGCGCGTAAAAAAAAAAAAAAGTTGTGTCTTATTTCCTATTTCCTAGTTGTGTCCCGTTTTTCTTCTTTTTTTTTTATGGTATTTTTCGAAGCTTTCATAGACAGAATAACATGAAAACGAAGACAGATCCCATACGCTAAATGGAGTCAAGAATGCGAAAGTGACTTAATACCTCTTGTGGAAAGATAAGTATCACGCAGTTCAAACACAGAAAGGGCAACTGAAACAAAGCAATAAACCATTTTTCGAATCATACTTTCTGCACCCAAATGGGTTTTGAAATACCAATTTGAACCTTGGGAGTAATTTGACCGGCATATTTGAAGCTGGTGGTTGTTCCGGATTAATACCGGAGCTGAATTCCGGATTAGATCCGGCTTCGTTGTCCCGGCCCGCGGAGTTAAATTAGGATTCATCATGATCATGCGCTTCTTCGTTTTACTGGTTTAAAAATGTTGAGGAATTTCGCATTTTCGCTGAGACAACTTCTGACAACCTTGTTACCGCGGGATGTCAAAAAGTGGTTAGTACATGTCTCGGTTTGCGAATTCTAGACAAGATTCTTTCAAAATTAACTTGACTTTCCTGGACTGAGGGAAGTTTGGTTGCAGTAGCCCTTTAAAGACAGTCCAGAGTATGTTGTAGTCATCTTGCAATACCTCACAGCATCATAATTTATAGGTATGTCCCCTTTAATGTGTGTGTGTACGTGTGTGTTACGTCTATGAAAAAGATACAGAGCTTCCGGGAAAGCTTTGAGAGCTTGGATAACGCAGTGGGCGGAAACTTTTCCCGATTTTTCGTGTTTACTTTTTTTCTTCTAGTGAGTCTTTTTTTTTCTGCCAAAATATGCTGGTCATATGCGTCTGTCATGTCATGCCGAGTCCTGTGTCTGTTCCTTTTTTTTAACTCGAAGTAGTCCATTAGTTTGTCGTTTTTTTTCTTTTTTTATATATTATTTTATATATTATATACGACACACGCATTTAGAATTTACAGCATGAATTCTCCCGTCGTTTGTGACAGCCTGTAATAGCCGAAGCAGCAGACTTGACTTTTTTTTAATCATATATAGTCAATTAGTGAACGTTAAGAAATGGTAGGAGAAACAAATTGTGATCTCCCGAGACACAATGTTTTGATGGAGTACGTATGTTTTTATACGAACTGTCGAGTTTATTTATTCACTGCCTTTCGTCCCCGATATCTTTGAAACTGACCCGTCTTTTGTATCGTTGAATTGTGGAAACTGTCAGCATGAAGCTATAGACATTTTCCATAGGGGCGCCGCCATCTTGAATAGTCGTCACTTCCAATATGGGCGACGACAAAATAGTAAAACTTTTCAACCTGTAACCAGTAAAAAAATAGAGGAGAACCGAAACGAGAATGTGTGACGGTTAGGCTTATATCCTAAATGTCTTCTATTGGCGCGGCGACGGCAAAGTTATGTTTTCGCCCATACTGGAAGTGACGACAATTCAAGATGGCGGCACCCTTGTGGAAAAGGTCTATACTGAGTCCAGCCGCGACTACCTGGGCACCCGCAAAAATCGAAAGTGAAGTGTTATATATATATATATATATTTATATATTTAGCATATGGTACCTATTGATTGGACGTTGTACAAACACGTGATCACACCGACGCAGAACCTCTCAGGTACAACGGCAAAGTATTTGTCCTCAATCGGAGTGTGACAACCTGAGCAGCATTGCAGCTCTTCTTCAGTTTATCCTGTTTCATAAAAATGGCGGCGTCTTCCGCCAGGAGATTGACACTATTCTTCGTTCTGAGTGATGGAACTCTTTTCCACAACCCCCCCTCACAAAATGGTGTCCTAGATTACAAAATGGTGTCCTAGATTGTTCTGAAATGATACAATCGCATTATTTTACGGTGGAGTAGTGAATTGCACTCTTTTGAGACATATCAATGCAAGTGAACAGCAGGACATGACCCAACCGGAGAAAAGAAAAAAAGAAAAAAAAAATGTCCTTCAAAGTTTTGTGCCATTTATTTGATATCGGCTAAGTGTGTGTTTGTTTTCGTTTATAACAAAGTGCCTGAAATGTTCATAGTAATGCTGTGTTGTTGTTTTTCTTCTTCCACAAACTAGAAAAAAAAAAAGAAATTGTACGACGATCATTCGTGCACATGTGTAAATATGTTTTTTATAGAGCATATTTTTTTTTCAATCGCAATAAAAAAATAAACGGGAAATGTTCAACTTGATTGCCGTGTCGTCGCTGATTCATTGATCCAGGCGAAACCACTGGCCATTTTGATCTTAAATCACTCGCCCTGGGGCAGAAAGCCAGCCACACTTCAGAATGATAAACTAGTAAAAAGAAAACAATCTTCCACTGGCAGTCAACCTATTAGAAATCCAATGGCTGCTGAAACCTTAGCTGGTAATGTTTCATGGGTAAGTTGTCAACTACTGAGAACCGAAAACAAATTGAGTTTCCAAGAATAAGAGATAACCCCTATGTTGCAGTCGTCGCATTGCTCATACGTCATAAAAATTAAACCGTGTTCGCGGCAGACATGATAAGATAATTACCTGCAGAGACATCTCAAGCACGTTTGATACTTCGAACACGTCTTCAGGCCAATGCGGCAGGACTCTCGTACATGGAAGAGACAAGCTACATGGCGAGGTGAAACCAAAATGAGCTGGAAGACGCCATGTTGTTCTCCAAAATAATTCTTCACCGTGCGTATTGGTTGATGTTACTTTAGCAAAATGCGGATCAGGAGAACTCGTTTACCAGCTTGTTTCAGTTCGTTGCCCAGGACAACCTTGACTTGACGTTCGCATTCTTCAGGGAGGTGCAACGAATCATTGCGGAATTTGCCACGGAATTGAGAGTGACACGAAAGAACTCTTACGCTATTAAATCAGTCAATGCTGATACGGGCCTGCACATCTGTCTCTTTCTTGCAGAAGAAAAAAAAAAATGAAACACTATGTTGAAATTAACCTGAGTCTGGGGTAGAGAAGAAACATGAAAACGTAGAAGGGACAGAAAATAGAGAGGACGACTTCTCCTGAGACGTCGCCCTCTCTATTTTCTGTCCCTTCTACGTTTTGATGTTTCTTATCTACCCCAGTCTCAGGTTAATTTCAACATGGTTAATATTCAGCAGCTCGTCTGCACCCTTACGATTTTTCCTATGAAAGGCTCGTTCAGTTATTCAATAGAGCTTAAGAATTATTCAAAAGTAGGAAACCTTAGTGTGAGCTTTCCGTTTCTATCTACCCCGCTTCCGCCCGTCACAATTCTGGTGCATCGAACCTTAATTGCTTCAAAATTCTTGCCCCATGGAACGTTCTGCGATTACAGTCGTGTCAAAAGAGCTCACGATAGTCATTGTCAGGATGAGAACAGCACGGCGTCTCTTTCTAATGTCCTTCTCATCCTAGCAGTGACTATACATAGCTTGAGCCGACGTCACATCAGCGAACATTCTGAAGGACCTTGCTGCCGAAAGCACACCATGTGCAGCATGCATTGCGCACCACCGCATTTGTTTCTCTCGGCAAGGACTGGTAGGCACGACCATTGGCACGGTGCGACGACATCACGTGCAAGCCACGTATAGCACTCAACAATTCCCTTACATGAACTCGCAGATAGCGCTACGTCACTCTACGACCCTATGCCGGTCCTGATATATCTTGGTGTTAAGAGAGAAACCATTGTCTCCGCAAAACAAAACAGCACCATTAGTAACAAAACCTAAGAGAAGCAGCTCACTCGCCCAATCGTAGATGCCCTCGAAATTGGTTCGGGGCCCCGCAGAAGGACACCTAATTTCCGAGAGATGTCTCCCGGTCCAGGAGCCGGCGAAACGAACTTGCTGCGCGCCATCGATCATCGGCAGGCGTCAGCAAAGGTTCTGCTCGGCAAACAATCGGACCAATAACCTGGGCGTGTCCATCACACAGCGTCGCCGGGCGCAACCCCGCAACAGTTCACGCGCAAGACAGTCCCTCACGACCCAATTGAGCCAGCCAGCGGGGTCCGGGGTCCTTGAAGTTCCCATCCGTCAATTACGTCCCAGTCCGCGGTTTTGACCACCTTAATGAAACGGCCTTCACGATGAAGCCCTCCCCAGCCGTTTCATGGACCAAACAGAGCTGCCGAACCGGATCCAATGACGTCACACGTGCTGCCCGATAACCTGGAGCAACACCAATACCAGCGGTAGAGAAATGCACCGTCTCTTTCTAGTGTGCAGTTTGTTTTCGTTTCTTTACTCCCTTTGCGCGCGCGGCGGTGGAGTCGTGACCGGGCTATCGATGCCACGCCGATAATCTCCGAAGAAAACCAAAAAAGAGACTGTTGTTTTGTTTTGTGTGTGTGTCCGTTTTTCGCGGCCATGGGAAGAACCGCGGCGTTCCTTTTGGCATCCTCTGCGACTGGACCTCCCATTCCGAATTCTCTTCGATGCTATCGGAGTGTGTGTGCGCCGCCGACCGACCTCACCGAGAATGTCTCCGTCGGGACACCGAAATACTTTTTCTTTTTTTAATCCGTCAGACATTTTATTTTATGCTCGGACTCGGATGTCTTTATTGACACTCCGGGAACCATTAAAGGCCGCGATCGGATTAGTACCCACCAACGCAATGCATGCCGCAAAGCAGCATTTTGAAAGTGAACACTCCTGGGATCCTTGTCGGCAAGGTAGTCATCCACGTCGCTCAACTCTCGCAAGGTCGAGCCTGAACGTCAGCTTTCTGTGGCCCGAGTCCATGCTGCTCCAAGTCGTCAAGGTTGATCTGAGTACGGTGTTTACGATCGGATCGATTGACAAATTCTGTCTCCGGAGAGTAACTGAAGTTGTTTCCCGGAGAAGCTCGTTACCTCCTGGTTGTTTTCGGTAAGAACTCTCATCTTGCTTGGAATGCTTGCTTGTTGGGCTATATTCAATTCTACATAATAAAAAAAAAATCTTTATGGCTATAAATACCATGTCAGCTGTCCTCTGTTTAAACTTTAAAGCGAATGCGGTAGTCTTTCGTGCTAGGCATTCATTCGATAACCATGTGTGGGATTGCTCATTTATCGGGAAATTAGTTAATTATATATAATTTGTCCAAACTTTCAGTTTAGTTTGGTTTGTCAACCGGTGTTCAGAAATCACAATAAAAACCCACTTCATGCCAAAAAAAAAAAAAAACAATCGTGAAGGGAAAGGATGACAAACCAAAAGGTAGACTTTTGACCATCGGTGTTGAGTAGCCGCGTTTTCAAAATGATGGTTATGTGACCTTGACATCAACATGTCTGTCATCCGCTCAGAATCTCGAAACGAGAGGCCCGCAATGGTACTATAAGCACGTACAAAAAAAAAAAGAAAACTCAATTGCTAAAAAAGCGAACCAGACATTCCAGGCGAAAAACCAGAAACGCATAACGCTGAAACATTTGTGCACAAGAGGCACTAACATTTAAGTGTTCAAAATAATGGAGAATCTGAGAAGTTGTGGATACTGCTCACGGCAATAGGGGAAAGGTCAGCCTCCCGATATCTTTATGCTGTTCTCTCGAAGGGATGGGACCAACAGAGATGCATGAGACCCATGGCTACCCGATGAATGGTCTCCTGGCGCAACAGACGCCAGCAAGCCACCGCGGCGTGCGGTTCCTGCCCCTCTCACAGTGCACGCAGTGAAGACGACGGCGTGAGCAAAGCAACGCACGGCGTGATTAATTCCACGACGGCTCAGGCTGCCCGAAGCTTGCGTCCCATGGGGAGGAGGGGGCAAGACCAGTACCACCTACAAGACAAGGCCTACGCGTGACGTCATCGTTAGTGGGCCCCCGACCCGCCCCAAGCAGCAAACACGCTGAAGCTCGGCCAAAATCGCCGCAAAACGGCAGACGTGTTCGTCTTGGCGTCGCCGCGTTCTACCGTCGCCCGCGTTGGTAGACGCTGCAAGACGTGCTGGTGCAAGCTGAGGCTGCGCCGCGCAGATCCTCTAGAGTGACGTTTGGGGCAAAGGCCTTGTCTTCTAGATGGTATTGGTAAGGCCCACTTTGCATGGATGCACGCCGGGGGCACGGAGGTGGTCGGCAACCATGAAATGAAAGAGGAGGCCCGCTGCTTCTAATAACATTGGGCCGGCTCTCCCTGACCGTGTTCCCATGCCCGCCACTCCCGTGACCCGTTAAAGGAATGCCTGATGGGTATCTGCACGCCGACTACGCAGGCGCCTCGATATCTATTACGGCCATTACTCTGGGGATAACAAGGCGCGCCTCTGCGCGCTGCTGTGGTGCTACATCCGCTTGCGTTTGGGGGTTCGGGCTTCTTTTTAATTTTTCTTTTTTTTTTTTATTTGTGGCCCCGCTAACCGCAATGCAGACAGAGAACAATAACAACAACGACTTGCTGGTATGTACTCAAAAAAAAAAAAGGGGGGGGGGGGGCGGGATATTACAGGAGCGTGAACTTACTGCACATGCGTTCGTAATTCTCTGATCGATCAATTGCGGTGGAGGAGGGGGGGGGGGGGGGGGGCGCTCGGTTCGAAGAAGACTGGGAAGGTGGGGTGGATAGGAAGGGGGGGCGGGGGGCGTGTGCGTTGACATGTCGCGACCGTGTTATGTATCCCCATTGTTCCGCACGTCGATTATTTTTTTTTTTCCCAACGAGGTCTTTTTTATTTCGAGTGTTTATTGACATGACGCTCTTCTAGCAATGCCAAGATCACGCTCTTGCGTGTTTAGCCTTTAAGCCGCGGTTATGCTGCTCATGCATCATACAAAAAACAGTCTGTAGATATTCCCTGAGTCCTTGTATGACGGTCACATTGGCCATACGAAAACTGCCTGCAGACAGGTTAGAAGCACGTATGAAGCGGACGTGCTTCGAACATAGGTGTGTCCGCGGTTATGTCATTATGTCTGCAGTAAACACCGTGTCTTTTGTATAATGTATGATCAGTGTGATGGCGGCTTTACTTTAAACTAAGCCCGTGAGTGCGGGCAACGATACAGGGTTTTAAAATCGCCTCGCTCTTTTAACGTGAAATTGAGAGACATACAATCCTCGAGTTCGAACCCAAGCGAATGGTATAAACTACTGTTTTATCGCCTTTCTTTCGCTGATGTTCTATGAATATAAAAAGAAAAATATATTAACCCCCCTTTCATTACTTTCGAAACGCTTCTTCTTACTACTTCAGCACTAAAATTTGACGTTCCTGAGCTATTACG